CTGCAAGCAATTCAAGATGAAAATGGACTTATTATTTGAAAGATATCAAAAAGATATTTTAAACGGGGGTTATCTGGGCTCAAGTAAATAACTTGTTTTTATCTAAAAGTATTATCAAAACCACCCTTGCCAGCTCTCAAGTAACAATGGCCTTAGATATTTGAAATGTTATCAAAAAGATTATCAGGAACCACCCTATCGGCTTTTGAATTACTGGAGCCTGAAATACTTGAAAGATTACTTAAGCAGTTATTGTAAAGCCGCTTTTGGATAACAATCTTGATAACCCTGCCAAGATTATTGTGAAATTATTGAAAATGTGCTGGGATGTCAGTTCAAATAATCTTCTAATAACATTCTTTATAAATAGCTGATGCTTATCCAAGCCCAATTTGGCAGGCTTTGTCTCTGGTAATTATCTCAGAATTACCTTGAAGATATTTTGAAGCACATATGATGGTAGATGATGATGGACAATGGCAGACAATGGCAGACAATGGCAGATGATGACAGAGATGATGATGGATGATGATGAATGACAATGGGTGACAATAGTGCTGCTGGTGGACAACGATGAGGATGATGGTAAACAACAACAGGATAGGTAGCACGGAATAGGACAAAGCCTGCCAAATTGGGCTTGGATAAGCATCAGCTATTTATAAAGAATGTTATTAGAAGATTATTTGAACTGACATCCCAGCACATTTTCAATAATTTCACAATAATCTTGGCAGGGTTATCAAGATTGTTATCCAAAAGCGGCTTTACAATAACTGCTTAAGTAATCTTTCAAGTATTTCAGGCTCCAGTAATTCAAAAGCCGATAGGGTGGTTCCTGATAATCTTTTTGATAACATTTCAAATATCTAAGGCCATTGTTACTTGAGAGCTGGCAAGGGTGGTTTTGATAATACTTTTAGATAAAAACAAGTTATTTACTTGAGCCCAGATAACCCCCGTTTAAAATATCTTTTTGATATCTTTCAAATAATAAGTCCATTTTTATCTTGAATTGCT